GATAGAAAAGATGTAAAAATTGGAGGGTCAGTCTTCAAGATTGAAGTTCCAATACCTGATTCATAGGAGTTCCAGAAAGAACAGAAAAAAAATGGAGACACTAGAGACTATATAGTCTCTGACGGCATTGAGATGACATTTCTGAATAGATAAAACCAATCCTTGCCCATAGACACAGGAGAGTGGCCACCTCTGGAGAAAGCAGGTGCTTGACTATTCTTAGAACCCTTGCTGACAAGAACTGTTCATTATGCACTGCTTTATTAATTGCTTGCAGAAGGCACTCAACTCCTACTTGTTGCATGAACAAATAGAAGCAGGATTGGCTGGATTAGGGCTTTCGAATCAGACAGACCTGAGCTTGAACACCATCTCTGTTATTGTCCATGTGACCTGAACCGAGTTACCTAAAGTCCCTAAGATTGTTTCCTCATCCATGAAATGAGTGTAAGGAAGGGTACTTGCACTGTCCCAGTGTGGGGAGGATCAAAGGAAATAATGTATGAGAGTACCTAACACAGTGACCTGTGCAGAAATGTAATCATGAAACAGTATTATTTGTAGAAGCGACAGTATCATTAGGTAAATGGTCTAGTAATTACCATTCCAAGGGCCTTGCAATGGAAATGTGTGCCCCAGAGCAGTCAAATAAGGGAAACATTGTCTTTAGAATTTAAAAACATTAATAAAACTAACATTTACAGTCTGCTTTTTATTTTTACTACATGCCAGCAATTCTAAATAATGTCAGTGATAAAATATTTCTCCCTGAGAAAAATATTTTGTGGGTCTAAGTTCGAAACTATCTCTGAAGTCATGGTTGAATTTAAATAAATGGCATTACATATTCCTGTTAAATAGTGGCTCAGAAATAAACGTTGAAAACCAGTGACTCATAAACAGTGATTAGAAAGACAAAGACACAGAACTTGAGTTATTTCAATTGTATAGTGTTGTATGATCACTTGGAGTTTCTCTTTGTATTTAAAATTTAAAACGGTGAAACTGACTATAAGCTACTAGGTATATTTTTGCTCATCAAATGCATATTTCAGTTCATACATGAAACATATTACTGAATTTAAATAGTATCTTGAAAATTAAAAAATACATTCTTTTAAAATTGTTATTCTTGTTTAATTGGTATTTAATTGCTATTACATTTTAATGTAGTTATTAGTGCAACAAGCCCATATGTTGTTCCCTTTTCAAAAAAATACTTAAATATAATTAAAAGGAATTAACCTATTACTTTTTTCCTTTTCACTGTAAAATTAATTATTCATTACAAGCATGATTATGTAATGAAATTTAATAAAAGAAATTTGATACTGTCTGAGTTTCTTTTCTGGCCATTATCATTATTTATTTCATTTAATGATTTTTTTGAAAATAATTTTCTTGTAAAGAAAAGGGATATATTAAGAAAATGATTTGCTCCATGTGTCAGATATGTTAGGTATGCTTATTAAAGGCTTTTCGCAGAAGGCAAGTGTAAGTTTATTTATACACAATGGTATCACTGTCTGTAACTATTTCCTGTGTTTGATTTTTGGAAGCCTTAGGCTCTCAAACAATCTTTTTCATGAGACAGCTAATGTAAAGATAAATTATCAAGCATCTTCTCTTTGTGATGCGATATGAAAATATTTCAGTGACTGGGAAGATTTTTAACATGCTGGAAAACATTTAAAGATTCTACTTTTCTTTTTCTTTTTTCCTTTATCAGTCATATGCTCTGCGATATTGACAAGAAGTGGTGTTTGGAAAATTCAAGCTTTTAAAAAATTTTTATTCGGGGCACCTGGGTGGCTCAGTCGTTAAGCATCTGCCTTCGGCTCAAGTCATGGTCCTGGGGTCCGGGGATCAATCCCCGCGTCGGGCTCCCTGCTCAGCGGGAAACCTGCTTCTCCCTCTCCCTCTCCCCCTGCTTGTGTTCCCTCTCTTGCTGTGTCTCTATAAAATAAATAAAATCTTAAAAAAAATTTTTATTTAAAACTTCTTTAATAAATCCAAATAATGAAGGGCTTAGGAAGCCTTATTTTGCTAGTAGGGGTAAAGTATTTTTCTAAATTTGGTTAGGGCATTCCTCCCATTGAGGAAATAGAGTGTGAAAATATGACAATACAGTGCATTTTTACACCGTGCATAAATATCTTATGAGACTTACTACATTGTGGTATAGAACTTTCCTCCCCGACTACTTTGGAATTCCTCAAAGGTAGAGACTATGTTTTATTTATCCGTTGATGCTCAGATCTGGCAGGTAATATGAGTTCAATAAAGATATAATGAATTATTGAATGAATGAATGCATGAACATCAAGCACAAGTTCATAAGTTTCCAAGTTCAGATCAGAGGGGGCAAAATGAAGTTATCATGATTTGCTAACTACTGAGATCTGTGAATAAAATAGGATTCCAGGGGTGCCTGGGTGGCTCAGTTGTTAAGTATCTGCCTTCGGCTCAGGTCATGGTCCCAGGGTCCTGGGATTGAGCCCCGCATCGGGCTCCCTGCTTGGCGGGAAGCCTGCTTCTCCCTCTCCCAGTCCCCCTGCTTGTGTTCCCTCTTTCACTGACTCTGTCAAATAAATAAATAAAATCTTAAAAAAAAAATAAAATAAAATAGGATTCCAGTGGTCATTTGAATAACTAGACTGGAATGCTGAAAAGAATTTCCTGAACAAAAGGCTTTGAAAAATTCTCAAATACAGTAGACTCACTTCCAAAGTGGTTTTTAATTAGGCTTGCCTAGAGGAGTAGGCAGAGGGAAAATGAAAGTAATATGATAATTCATGATAGTTTATATTTTTAAAAATCCATTGAAACCTAGATATTAATTGAGGCCAATAAGTCTCCTAGGGAACATGAGAAAGAATATTACTACAGTTCATTTCAGGAAACATTTATTAAACAGCAAATACCACCAGTACAAACATGATCAAGACTCAGTCCCTATTCTTGCAGGATGCACAGCTTGGTAAGAGAAGCAGGTTAGGGATATCATTTAAATACTATGTGGTAGGTGCTACAATATAATCAAATTTTGAGGAAGGAACTAAGAGCACTTTATATAAATTTAATTAAGAAATGGCTTCTTTGATGAATAGTGAACATATAGGTTCAACAAAAAGACAAAGTGCTGGAAACCAATATAAAGATGCAGTGGATAAAATATCCACATATTTAAGTACTTTGTAGCCATTAAATATTAGGGTTTTTTTTCTAAGATTTTACTTATTTGAGAGAGAGGGAGAAAGCACGAGACAGGGGAGGGTCAGAGGGAGAAACAGATTCCCTGTTGAGCTGGAAGCCTGACATGGGGCTCTGTCCTGGGACTGGGATCATGACCTGAGTGGAAGGCAGACGATTAACTGACTGAACCACCCAGGCGCCCCTAAATATCAGATTTCTGACTACTATCTAACTAGATATTAAAACACAATATATTCCGGAATGCTAATCAACTGATTTACACTGATATAACTCTAACCAGTTGTTAAACCATTTAGATAAGATGTTATACATCATATGTAATCAGGAAAACGCAAACTGAAAGGCGATACCATTACGCACCTATTTGAATGGCCACAGTCTGGATCTCTGGAACTCTGAGAACACCAAATGCTGACAAGGATGTGCAGTAAGAACTTTCATTCATTGTTGGTGGTAATGCAAAAAAGTACAGCCACTTTGGACAGGGGAATATTATTCAGTGCTAAAAAGAAATGAGCTATGAAGGCATAAAAAGACATGGATGAACTTTAAATGCATATTATGAAGTGAAAGAAGCCAATCTAAAAAGGCTGCATAGTTAATTCCAACTATATGACATTCTGGGAAAGGTGAAACTATGGAGCAGTAAAAAGATCAGTGGTTGCCATGGGTAGGGAGAGGGACTGTTGTATTTTGGAGCAGTGAAAATACTCTGTATGATGTTATAATGGTGGATACATGTCATTATGTATTTGCCCAAACCCACAGAATGTACAACACCGAAAATGAACCATATTTTAACTATGGACTTTGGGTGATTATGATGTGTCAATGTGGGTTCATCTACTGTGACAAAAGTACCTGCTGGTAGAGGGTATTGATAATGTGAGAGGCTGTGCATGGGATCATGGGCAATCTCTGACCTTCCTCTCAGTTTTGCTGTGAACTTAAAACTGCTCTAAAAAAATAAAGTTTTAATAAAAAATAAATAAAACAAAAAACTGAGATACTTCTACTGGTTGGTGTATAGTAGCTTCTCTGAGGAACCAGAGAGTCCCATATCACCCTGGCTTCCTTGGCCCTTTCTACGGGACTCTCTGGGGCTTTCTCATGCAGTTACTATAGAGTTGACACATGGCACCAGGATCCTGCTCCAGTAACATCAGCCTCTGCTGTGGGGTATTAATTATTAGATATCACTCCTGGATACATTATAAAGTAAAAAAAAATGGGTTACAAATACTGTGTGAAATATGATAGTACTTTGTTAAAAAATATGTATGTGGAGGGGCACCTGGGTGGCTCAGTCGTTAAGTGTCTGCCTTCAGCTCAGGTCATGATCGGGCTCCCTGCTGAGCAGGAAGCCTGCTTCTCCCTCTCCCACTCCCCCTGCTTGTGTTCCCTCTCTTGCTGCCTCTCTCTCTGTCAAATAAATAAATAAAATCTTCCCAAAAAATGTGTATGTGGATAGATACATACAGATAACACTTCTCCTCTCTATATTAGAAAGTTAAAAAGTTATTTCTGAGCAGTAGTAGACTTATAGGTGACTATAAGGTGACTATATTTTCTTTACAAATTTCTATCTTTCCCAAGCTTTAAAATTATTTTATAATCAGAAATATATATAGGGAGAGAAAGAGAGAGGATGAGAAATGAAAGCAATCAGATTGGTAACTTAGGTAGTGACTTGTGTCTGTGCCCAAAAATTTTTCCAAGTTCTATAACACTGAGCAAATCTCTCTTAACTCTTCTTAGAATAATCAATTTTGTTCTGAGTTAACTCATGCTGAGTTAATACTGCTATCAGGATCAAAGCGGTGTCCAAGTTTCAAAATACCAAGCCAAGTAATTAAGCAAAAGAAGCATTCAGGACTTGGAGTCTCATTACCTAGTCCCATTACTGGCCCTGGGTCAGACACATAAAGGTCAGGATCTGGGGGAAGCAGATACACAAATAGGAAATGAGGTCAAGAATACAAGGAGGAGAGAATTATTTGCCAAGTTAAATCCCGGAACACAAGAAACATGCAAAATGCTGAGTTGAGGTCAGCTGAAGCAGTAGAAACAACATAATTCATGTTTTGGAACTAATCATAGAGAAAAGAGTCTTCTGAATGGTATAGCTTAAGTCCTGCTTCCGCACCTGTTCACGCTGTGCTGATGGCTGGAAGGGATGGTACTGAGAAGAAAAGTACCATCAGCATCACGGTATCACTTGAGTTGCTTTCTCATCTAGCTCAGTGTGTTTTTAGGACTGAAATAATGGGGTAAACATGTAAGACTGTGTGTCATCCAGACACAGAATATAAGTGGGTCCTTGGAAACAGGTAACATTCATCATTCGATACCTAGGGCCTTGATTCCTAATAAGACCATGTTACAGATATAACTGCTGACTTAGAGACCAGTGGTTCTCAACTAGGAGTGATTTTGCCCCCCTAAGGGACATTTGGAAATGTCTGGAGACATTTTTAGTTGTCACGAGTTGGGGAAGTACTACAGGCATCTGGTGGGTGAAGCCAGGGCGGCTGCTAAACATCCTGCAATACACAGGGCAGAACCCCTGCAACAAAGTTACTGGGCCCAAAGTACCAATAATGCGAAGGTCGAGAACACCTGCTGCAGACAGACGTCGTAGTTGAAAAGTACGGCAACATTCTTGGGTCAGTGTTCCATACCTGTTAGTGACATTGCCCCCTTAACCAAGTAGTGTTGGCTTAAGAAAACTGTACAGCAGAGGGCAGTGATAAACAAATTTTTATGTTATATTATGACTGGTCCTCCAATAGTCTTCTTTTTTTTGCTTCTCTAATCCCCCAAACAAAAGTAATGATAGAAGCTGAATAAAGCCAAAGAAGATAATTTTGTATCTTTTTTGAGAAAAAAAAAATCACCACATTTTATGCAACGATGTACTAAAAATTTTAAAAATATAACTTCCAGAGATATAGGAACCATGACGTTATTGTAGAGGTTCTACGCAGTGTAATTGGATACAAAATGGAAAAGAAACAGTAAAATTGTCCATATCAGTTTGCTAGGGCTGTTATAATAGAGCTCCACAGACCAAGGGGCTTAAGCAATAGCTCTAGGTTTTGATTTAGCATTTGGGATATTTTTCTGCTGACGTAGCAAATATAAGGCATAATGTTCCCTGTGAGTGCTCCCAACTAACTTTTCTGCATAGAAGAAACTGCTTTCTAGGTGGTTGTGAGGATTTTCTCTCCCATTCACAATGCTTTCTACTTCAAAGCCATGTAGTGTTATCAGGTAGAAAGAGTTCATGTTGATCTACACATGTCCACGATGTTTAGAGCGGTCTTTGCCTCGCTCACTTGTCATGACTTTTGTTATTATTATCAATGTGATTAATAACAGTAGTATTATTATTATTACCAGAGGGAAGGATAATAGCACTGAATATATATTTAAAAAAAGGCTTATCTCAAACTCTGGTTTTTTTTAATGTCATTTTATATTTTTGTTGACTTCTTACTTGACTCCCTTTTGATCAGATAATGTGTTCTGTGTTGTTTCCATATTTTAGAATTTAGTGAATTTTTGTGGCTTAATATATGATAAATTTTTGTAAATGCTTAAAGGGGATTTTTGGAAAAGTTGTTTTTGTTTTGAAGATACTGAATGCAATATCTGCCTATAAGTTCTACGGTATTGTTATTTAGGGCCTTTCTATCCTTACTTGGTTTTCTATCTACTTGACCTATCATGTGCTGAGCTAGGTACTGTTGCTGTCATTCTATGTGTACTTGTGTTTTCTGCAGTTTTGATTTTTTGAATTTTGAAACTGTTATTTGGTGCATAAAAATCCTTGAGAGATACTATGGATTGTGTTCTTTGTTGTTTAAAAGTGTTCAATTTTTTAATGCCTTTTGCTTTGCCTTAATAATTGCCTGATACTAATATTGCAAATTCTGCTTTTCCCAACATGATTAGTATTTGTTTGCTCTTTTGCTTTCAACCACACTTTATTTTAAGTAAGTCTCTCACATCTGGTTGGTTATTATTTTACAGTCAATCTAATAGATTAATGTATTCTGTTACACTTATGATATGACAAATATATTGAGATCTAGTTCTAATTGTATATTGCTTTGTTTTTATTGTTTCCTTTTTCTATGATTTGCCAAGAAAGAATGATTTACAGCATAATTTAAAAGATTAAAATTGTGAAAAACTGTTATCTCCCTAGCCATCAATTGCAATGATTATTACTTAACTCTGGCTTTCTCGTCTACATTAAGGAAGACAGTAACCATGAGTCTTTCTTAGTGTCAAATCTCCAGTCATGTACAATCTCCCTGGCTTCCCAGCTCTAGCTTTTGAGTTAGCATTTTAGGTATTTTTCTGCTGACATATCACATATAAGGCCTAATGTTCCTTGTGAGTGTTCCAAACTAACTCTCCTGCATGGAAGAAACTGCTTTCTTTTCTCTCTCGCTTCCAATATTTTCTACTTTAAAATCATGTAGGGTAATTTGGTAGAAAAGGAGTTCATGATGATCTATGTGTGTCCCTAAGTTTTTTTTTTAAAGATTTATTTATTTGACAGAGAGAGACACAGTGAGAGAGGGAACACAAGCAGGGGGACTGGGAGAGGGAGACGTAGGCTTCCCGCCAAGCAGGGAGCCCGATGCGGGGCTCGATCCTAGGACCCTGGGACCATGACCTGAGCCGAAGGCAGATGCTTAACAACTGAACCACCCAGGCGCCCCTATGTGTGTCCCTAATTTTTAGAGCTATCTATTCCTAGTTTTTTTTTTAAGAGTTATTTGCTCAAATGGATCTTTCCTCCCATTCCTTTAACGCTCAGAGCCTTAAAGTCAAAGTTTATTGAATTATTTAGGAAAATCTTCACTTCTCTTAAATCTTGCCACTTACATAAACTTACCTCTAATAGGGACTGTGACTCTTTTTTCTCCTCCCACATTCCCTTTCCAGTCTACATTATAAACACACACTCACACACAACTTGGTTTTTAGGATTATGCAATCATACATTCTTTTCTCAATAGTAAGCATGAGTGTTATCCATCTTCATTGTAAACTCTTAGAGATAGCAATGTCAGTAAATGCAATTTGATGATGATAAATATTGAATAAATAGTGCTTTGCCATGAATATGTCATTTTTAAGAAAAAAATTTACTTTAAACCATGTGTATATTTTCAACTGAAGAAATAAATTTGGGGTGGTAACTTATCTATTTCAAGATCAAGATGATTAATTACTTGATTCATCAACAGGAAAATGGAATTTCCGTATATCTTCAAACTTGACTTTTAGCCCAGATTTGGACAAATACACACCTTCTCTTTTTAGTTCATTTCATTTACAGCTGAATTAGTCATAGTTTCCTCACAGTCTGCAAAAACATCAGCAGCTATTAACCATTTTATTTCCATTTTATCAAAAACGTGTTGCACTAATTTATGTCTTCATGATCTACTCCTGTTAGCACAAAGATCTCACATCTTTAAAAGTGATTAATTCTTAGACAAATGAAAGTTTTTAAAAAATCTACTTCAACTTAACATTTTATTTGGGTGTGCAGTAAAAACTACAAGTTCTGAACACCCATCTTTACAACTGTTTTATATGAGTTAAGATATACTATAATTCTGTACTGCTATTCAACATAGCACTGGAAGTCCTAGCCACAGCAATCAGACAACAAAAAGAAATAAAAAGCATCCGAATTGGCAAAGAAGAAGTCAAACTCTCATTCTTTGCAGATGATATGATACTTTATGTGGAAAACCCAAAAGACTCCACCCCAAAACTGCTAGGACTCTTACAGTTATTCAGAAAGAGGCAGGATATAAAATCAATGCACAGAAATCAGTGGCATTCCTATACACCAACAACAAGACAGAAGAAAGAGAAATTAAGGAGTCGATCCCATTTACAATTGCACCCAAAACCATAAGATACCTAGGAATAAATCTACCAAAGAGACAAAGAATCTGTACTCAGAAAACTATAGAATACTCATGAAAGAAATTGAGGAGGACACAAAGAAATGGAAAAATCTTTCATGCCCATGGATTGGAAGAACAAATATTGTGAAAATGTCAATGCTCCCTAGAGCAATCTACACATTTAATGCAATCCTTATCAAAATACCATCAACTTTTTTCAAAGAAATGGGACAAATAATCTTAAAATTTGTATGGAACCAGAAAAGACCCCAAATAGCCAGAGGAATGTTGAAAAAGAAAAACAAAGTTGGTGGCATCACAATTCCAGACTTCGACCTTTATTACAAAGCTGTAATCATCAAGATAGTATGGTGCTGGCACAAAAACAGACGAATAGATCAATGGAACAGAATAGAGAGCCCAGAAATGGACCCTCAACTCTATGGTCAACTAATCTTCGACAAAGCAGGAAAGAATGTCCAATGGATAAAAGACAGTCTCTTCAACAAATGGTGTTGGGAAAATTGGACAGCCACATACAGAAGAATGAAACTGG